CGGGCACGGAGAGCTGCACTATATACTTACCCCAAGAGGCCTGAGGATAGTAGTTAAGCCTAATATTATACCACAGATTTAGTTTTCTGTTGTTTATCATATGAAAAAAAATCAGAAACTTATTCTAACTTGTTTTTATACTTTGGTACAGATCTTAAACTTTTTGGAATGCTCTTTCTCTTTGAAACGCAACAACTTCAAGAAACCAGTGCAATGTATGACTCATATTTTAAAAATAAGTTGTCATTTGAAAAACCCACTGAAAAGAATATAGAACATTGGAGATAAATATTTCTGACACATTCATGCTTTTATTATATAAGTTTGTTTGTTTTGGGTTTTTTTTTTTTTTTTTCGGTCTTTTTGAGACAGGGTCTCCCTGTAGCCCCAGCTGTCCTGGAACTCACTGTGTAGGCCAGGCTGGCCTTGGACTCACAGAGATCTGCTTGCCTCTGCCTCCCAAGTGCTGGGATTAAAGGCGTGCACCATCACACCTGGCTACAAGTTTATATGTTATATAAATTATATATAGTTGCCAGGCATGATGATGCATGCCTTTAATCCTAGCACTTAGGAGGCAGAGGCAGGCAGATCTCTGTGATTTCAAGGCCAGCCTGGTCAGCTACATAATGAGTGCCATACCAGCTGGGGCTACAAGGAGACCCTGTCTCAAAAAAGACAAAAAAAAAAAAAAGTTATATATAGTCAAGAAATTATACAAATATGAACTATGGAATAGATTCAAATTGTATGTTGGTTGTAAATTTGTAAAGACCTATTTTATCATTTTAGGTTGCTAATGCCATGAAAAACTCATTACCATTTGATGCACCTGATTCTTCACAAGAAGGCCAGAAAGTACTTAAAGTGGAAGTCACTCCAACAGTGCCGAGGATTTCTCGGACTGCAATTACCACAGCTTCAATCCGTCGTCATAGATGGAGAAGAGAAGGCAAGTACAAAATTCCCAAAATTTGCTCATGGATTCAAGCAAATTTATCAGTCTTTGTACAGAATATATTAATGCTTGATAGCCTAGTACTATCTATAAAGTAAAAATCTTGCTTTTTAAAATGTTACTAAAAATGTGATTGTTTAGTTATTTTAATGTAAATATGTATATGTTTATAAAGCAGAAAAAGGTTAGACTGCTCTATGAATGTTAAAACATAAGACCTACTTAAAGTTTGCCCTTTTTGACTAGTAATAAAAACATATAGAAATGTTTCTTTAAACCTATTAACTGGGAAAAAGATGCATGTATGAGCACTGTGGGAGAAAACTATATGACTGGTCAAACTAGCAATATAATACAAGCTATCTGTAAAAGAATTGATTCTTATTTTTGGATTTTTATATTTTCTTTTTTTCTAAGTTCTGAACCCAGCAGTATTTTATAGATATATGATACTTAATAGTGAAGCTGTCTTGCCTAAGAAATATTGTCATTTTAATGATCCCTATTTTTCAGTCCTATTCATTTGCGAACCTCACATTGTTCATCTGCTGCCTGATGTGTGTGCAAGCTGTGCACACACATGTAACTATATAGATAGTACTTGTGTTTATATCATATCCATATATACATTCTCTTACCTGCCTGGGTCAAAATGCTCAGAAAAGAATAGAGCAGCACAAAAGTACTAAAATTTTATATGTTGAATCCCAGATGGCTTTGACTTCTCAAACGAGGCTGACTCGAGTATTCCTGGCTCCCCGATCCAACACGGCTCCACTGACCTAGGGATCAAACGTGTGCAAGAGGGGGAGGTGCTGGTGCCCAGGACCCCTGAGCATGGCTCGTCGGAGCCCAACTCAGCAGCAGCCACAACAGAGGGTAGGAGAGAGATGAGGAGGCAGAAGTCAGTGAGGCAGTTGCTGGAAAAAGATCCTGGCTCTCTATCCCCAAGCAGAGCATCTTTCTATTCTAGTGTGTGTTTCCACTGTCCCTGGGTGTATTAGCTCCTCTTTGCAAAGCACCCCTCCTCCCTCATATGCCTAGCACCAGGTTAGGTACAGTCTTTAGTTACCACTTGTGCTGGCCTGGAGTCTGCTTCCCTGTGTAATCAAACAACAGCTTGGCATGGCTACTAACAAGGCAGGGGTCTGTGAAAAGGTCTGCAAATGCTTGGAAATTTTCATTACTGAGCATGTTTACTAACATTAGGAAAGAAAAAAGTGTACACTGTGGTCATGAGCCTTATTAGTCAATATTAACATGTATATATATAATCATTTACTAAATTGCAAAGAGAATTTTAAAACATAAGCACATTTAAGAAATTGAGGAAGCCGGGCGTGGTAGTTCACGCCTTTAGTCCCAGTACTTGGAAGGCAGAGGCAGGTGGATTTCTGTGAGTTCAAGGCCGGCCTGGTCTACAAAGTGAGTTCCAGGCCAGCCAGAGCTACAGGGAAACCCTGTCTCAAAAAGACCAAAAAAAGAAAGAAATTGAAGTGGAGCTGGTGTTTGTTTTCCTAGGGTGTCCAATTAATACAAATTTCCAATACACATTTCATTGATAGAGTATGCTGGTGTTGATTGGCTTCTTATAAATTGTGGATTGTCTAGATCCAACTACTGAATGACTGACATCTTTCCTCTGTAAATATACTATCCTGGAGCTTACTACATTTCACAATTTTTTATAAACAATTGTTATATAGCTCCTAAATGGAACTGAAATATATTATTTAGAAATCGAATTCCCTAGTAGACCCTTGTTTCTATAGTGTAGGAATCTCAAAATAAGAGCCCTGTGCCCCCATCACTATCTGACAGGAAAGTTTACTTGCTGTTTTGCATGTCATATGAGTTAGCTTTGTGAAAGAGAAATGTAACCAAATCATTTTTCATTATTTAATATATTGCTACTGGAACCTATCACTGTAAAAGCCTTTATATTAATTTATAAATAAACCTAGTAGTTTTAAAAGGGATTATATATTTTTATTATTTTAAAGACTGAACTAGGCTGGGCGTGGGGCACATGTCTTTAATCCCAGCACTTGGGAGGCAAAGGCAGGCAGATCTCTGTGATTTTGAGGCTAGCCTGGTCTACATAGTGAGTTCCAGGCCAGCTGGGGCTACTGGGAGATCCTGTCTCAAAAAGACCAAAAAAGTAAAAAGAAAAAGGCAACAGTACAGTTGAGAACAGTGCTCCAGAGGTAGTAAACATAAGTAAAGCATTTAAATTCTTCCTTAAGGAAGTCTCTTGGTTTTTGGTGTATAGAAATTTGAGCATGCTCAGTAAGAATCTAAATCTACCCTCAGTTCCTTGCCCATTTGCCCAAATTGACCTTACTTCATTTAACAGTACTGCATGTGCATGACCTGGTGACCCAGAAGTTGGTATTGTTTTGGAGATCTTTCCTTATGGAAGATGTGACCTTCCCTTTTTGTCTGTTTATATCTCTTTATCTTATCCCTAGCAATTAGTTGTATCTTATTTAAATGGAAAAGGTGAGACTATGAAGGGATGTGTTACCAGAGTGGACCCACATTGAACAGCAGTTTCTCATTTTTGATGACTAAATGAGCCATTTGATATTTATAACTATTGCTGGGATGTTGTGAGTATTTGGCTTAAATAGTGCCATATTAACAGTTGATGAAATTCTAGCAAGTATGGCACTGATCTGAAGCATTGCTTCTGGTTCATTAGTCTTATACTTTGAAAATGGAACCAAAGTAGTGATTTTCCTTTAATGTACCATTAACTTTTAGCATATCTCCTGTTATTGGTAAAATTTTAGTTCGGGGGAACTTGTAGGGCTGTATCAGCAAAAGGAAAGTGAATATGTTTCTTGAGTGTGTTTGAAATTTCTTAAAAAATTATTTTACCTTTTAATCTACATTGTTCAGTTTTAAGTCAGTATTAATAGATGCTGAATTTATGAAAAAGTCAGCTGTGAATAAAAAGGCCAATTAAAATCATTTTCAGTTGTTGCTTCCTGACATGGTGAATGTTATCACCCATGGAGAAAATTACACAGGGAAAAATGCTTTGTGACTTAGTTCCTTTTTTAGCTCCTTGGTTTTTAAACAAAAATATAGAAATTACTTAAAACCCATGAGAAATTTTACATATATAATTACCCATAAATATTACATATATAATTTACTTTAAAAAAGAAAACATGTTTTGTGGTATAAGGGCAGCCTAATAATGGTTTTAAATAGTTATAATTTAAAATGTATTTATAGAGGCCAGCAAGATGGCCCAGCGGGTAAAGGTGCTTGTTGTATAAGCTTGATGAACTTAGTTCATTCCCTGAAACTCATGTGAATGTGGACGGAGAGAACCAACTCCACGAAATTTTCTTCTGACTTCCACATACACACTGTGGTATGCATGCCCACAATACACATCATGCTCACACATAAATTAATGCTAATAATTTTTTAGATTAATATGTTCATTATATTTTAAATTGAAGGAAGTATAACCCTTAGGAAAATGTCTGTGATTGAAGTATAGTCAGTGTTCCACTATATTAAGCCAGCATTTCTAGTATATAAAATAGCAGTAGATTCTTTTGCATGGTGGCTTTTTACGTTATCATCCCTTTTATGGCCATACTGCTTGGGCATCGAATCTGCATGTAGCAAGAGTCAGAGCTAGCACTACATCTCTCAGTCTCCTTTCCTAACTGTATAGATAAACTGAATCCAATTTTATATTATTAATATTTCTGAACTGTACCTTCTTGGGTATTTTGGAGTTCTTTATACTAATTATAAGTAAGTTGTTAAAAGTGATGCATGAATATGATTTAAAGTTTTTATTTTTGAGGTACATACTACACAATTCTTTCGAAAGGATTGAGAGAAGTGGTGTCAGCTGCTATTGTTTTTGGTAGATGTAGTTCCACATGGCTTTGCATGATGATTAAACATTTAAATTGCTGGATATATTTATTTGTGTCTGTGTGTGTGTGTGTGTGTGTTTGTGTGTGTGTGTGTGTGTGTGTAACAAGTTACCTTTTGCTTTAAGGGCAGCCTAATTTCATTTTTTTTAAGAAGTAAAGAAATAGCTAATCTATGTGAAAAAATATAGCCAAGAAAACATTTTTACTTTTCCAGGTATTATGTTAAGTAAAAGATGGTGTTTGAATATTTTATATACATTTTGCTTAGGTAATCTGTATCTCAAAGTAATGTTTATTTAGATTGTTCTATAACATTTTACCTTGACAATGATGTTAATGTCTGTTTTATAGATTCATACTTTCTAGCAGTCTGGGAAAAACTTTAATGTACCAAACGAATATCAGTTTTTAAAAGAAGAAAATATTACTTTCTGAGACTATTTGATCACACTTTCTGTAAGAGAATTGGGGTTTCTGGAAACTACAAGATCATTATATTCTATATGATTCTCTTCCCACAAAAACTCAGATTCTTTCACTAACTTCAGTTTCCATGTGACATATGGTGAAGGGTTACAGTATTTTGTGAATGTGACAGTAATAAATCTTATTGTTAAGAATGTAAACTACTGGGGCTAGAGAGATGGCTCAGTAGTTAAGAGCACTGACTGCTCTTGCAGAGGACCTGGTTTCGATTCCCAGCACCCGCATGGCAGCTAATAACCATCCGAACTCCAGTTCCAGGGGAATCCGTCGCCCTCTTCTGGCCTACGTGGGCAATGCATGACTCCGGTGCACTCATGTATACATGCAGACAATATACTCATACACATAAAATTTTAAAATAATGAAATATCTTTAAAAAAGAATGAAAGCTATTTTAGAAATATGTAATACAGACTAGAAATATCCCTGCTAGTTCCCTATCCCTGCTACCTAATAAGCAATATACTTTTCATATTAATTGATCAAGAAAATATTGAAATCTATGTATAGGGTATGTCTATAAGACAAAATATGATTGTGAAGTTACTGCAGCAATGTAGGTGTTTAGTTGAGTTAGCAAATTTTGTAGTTTCATATGAAAGATATAAAAGCTGTATTAAGGCAGTTATCTGTTGAGTAAATCTAAATTTTTATTATAATTTAAAAGAGGTTAGCTTGCAGGTTTAAATGACTTTTTGGTATAATTCTGAGTAACTGAAATTAGAGCCTCTTTTGCAATGTGTTGTACAGTGAATTAAAGAAAAATGGAAAAATCCTTGTTTTCTTTTAAAATAGGTGGATATGGTCACTTCAAATGAATGGCAGTGTGTTATAAAAATGTTGTGTTTTAGTTTTATATACTTAACTATTGATAGCATACTAGGTAATGTTTGTTGACAGTTTTACAAAAGCTGACTGAATTAAAGCTAAACAAACACAGTGACTAGCTTATTAGAATTTGATTTAGAGGATTATTCCCCTAAATTAAAGTACTAAGTCTTTACAAACCTATAACAGACATTCAAGCAATTAGGTCAGTGTTGTTCACAACTGCTTTTTACTTAATATAACTATTGCTGAGTCTCTCTGATTCATCTTTTAGGTGCTGAGGGTCTAAATGGAGGAGAGGAATCTGTAAACCTGAATGATGCAGATGAAGGATTTTCATCAGGGGCTTCTCTCAGCAGCCAGCCACTTGGGACCAAACCATCCTCCTCTTCTCAGAGGGGGAGCTTAAGGAAAGTAGCAACTGGGCGTTCAGCCAAAGATAAAGAAACAGTATCTGCCAGCAAATCTAATGAGAGCCCTCGAGATTCAGTAGTTCACAAGCAGTTTGTACAGCAACCAACGGATCTTAGTGTAGATTCAATTGAGCTGACACCGATGAAGAAACACCTGAGCCTGCCTGCTGGCCAGGTGGTGCCAAAAACCAATAGTTTAAGTCTAATTCGGACAGCAAGTGCTTCCTCAAGTAAATCATTTGACTATGTAAATGGCAGTCAAGCAAGTACCAGCGTTGGGGTTGGCACTGAGGGAGTTACTAATCTAGCAGCTACCAATGCTAATCGATACTCAACTATCAGTCTGCAGGAAGACCGGCTAGGTCACACTGGTGAAGGCAAAGAGCTCCTCAGCCCAGGAGCCCCCTTAACCAAGCAGTCTCGATCCCCAAGTTTCAATATGCAGCTAATATCCCAGGTGTAGCTTTGATGTCCCCTCTTTCTGCTAACCTGTTAAACTGAACATTTCATTGTGCAAGACACTTCATCCCACATTGTGAAAATATTGGTCATTGTAATCAGATTTGACTTAGTTTAGATATCTTCATACTGTATTTTGTATGGAAACAGCAATAAGGTTTTCTTTTCTCTCCTTTGACCTCTCTTCCTGTTCCTTGTCATTGTATTTGTGAAGCAGTGTAAAATGTTTGCCTTTTCATGCCTTCCTTTTTCCTTGGGTGATGTGCAATCCATCGTAGGCTGATCAGTCCCATTTCAGCACTGTGAGACTGAGGATATGTTAGAGGAAATGGTGTATATGATCCCTATGAAGTGATTCTTTGGTTTTTATTTAAAAACAAAACGGGTTTGTTCACATGATCTATGGAACTATGAAGATAACTGGATCATATTTTTTTTCTCTTAACCAGGAGTGCCTCAGAGATTCTGCTAGGACTTTGGACTTCTCTGAGTCTGTGCAATTGTATATTCTTATAAAGCATGGGGCAAGGTGGTGGACTGCTGCACGTTCTCATTAAAATGAGGGTAGCTCTTTTCCCCCCTTTCCCTTTATCCCAAGGACATAAATGTTTAATTATTGAGGCATTTAAATCAATTTGTGTCCACCTCCATTGGAGGGTGGGGCTCTATGTAATTGATAATGCACTTTCTCAATGGCTCTCTAGTCATTAACATGTCTTCCCTCTTCCCACAAGGACTTGAGGGCATTTCTGTCCTTAAAGATTGAACTAACAAGTCAGAGACTCCAAGGGGCATGTTCTATTTCCCAGGAATGATTGACACTTTGGTGCTGGGGTTTTGTGGGGGGAGGGGTGTTTTTTGTTTAGCCTGTGTGCGATTGTATGTAAAGGGACATTTTAATTGGTTTTGATTTTTTTTTCTCCCTTTGTGAGCTGATGATGACTGAAGTAGAGACTGTACATCTTCAGGTAAAGAGAGGGATTTCTCAGTCTACTTTCTGTGATGTCAGACTTTTGGAGAAACCCTTTCAGCTGCTCTCTAGATGTACCTAAATTCAGTCAGATATTGGATTAAGAAACCTAAGGTCTTGAGATCATATACTCCAAGGAAACACATCAGGGACAGATAATTGGTTGAAAACACTGATGCTTCAATGTGACACATTTTTATAGAACATTTCTACCAGAGGGTACTGACTTGATTTCTCCACAAGGACCACACTGCCTTTGTGTTTAATGCAATTTGTGTATCTTCTACTATATCTGCAAAGTTTCTCGTTTTGATAAAACTTTGAAATCATGCCAGTAAGCTAGATGTTGAATGTATGTAAGTAGCATTTGGTAACTGCTAAGAAGCCACAAAAATATATTATTGGTTTAAATTTTTCTGTTCTAATTTGGATGGGTAAGATGTTATTATAATCTCTTCTGGGTCTCAGGCTCTAATATTTGAAAAAGGGAATATATTGAGTTTTTGAAAGTCAGTATTGTGACTTGAACTGCTATGAATTATACATCCAGAAAAACACATCAGTTATACAGGTCTTTGTACATGTACACATTTTTGTTATTGTGAAAGAAAAATATATTGAATTTATAGAAAGCAAGTATTCTCCTAATTAGGACAAAGTTTAAAATTTTATATCTACTAATTACAGTAGATTTTGATAAATAAAGTAACCAGATAAATGCCTCTCTTTTTTTCACATTAACACCACCACCACTTGTGGGAGAGTTTGGGTGGGAGCATGTTGTATTAGAATCATCCTTGAGTGGATTTGTTGGTCTTTAACATTTTTCAACTCCTGTAAAAGTAGAAAACTAGAACCTGAAATGTTATCTACAACATTCCCAAAATTTGGGGTAAAGCTGATGATTTATTGATCTTTATGGTATGTATATATATTTGTCACAAAGACATTTTAGACCTCGTTTTTTCTAATTTAACGCTATCAAGAAAATGACAAGAATTATAAAACAGCCAAAATTAGTGCAATAAAATGTTTTTGTAACATACTAAAAGGCAAGTTTCTAGTACCTCAAGAAAGGTCAGTCACCTTATAGCAAAATTATTTGGTTTATTTGGCTGTTTTGTAACTCAAGTTGTATATATGCTGGCATCTAAATCAAGCATGATTTTAATTAAAGCACAAAAGAAATACCAAACAATTCCAAATTATAGCAAAAGTTATAGTAAATACAAGAAAATGTCCTTTGGTTAGAAACGTTATAACTGAAAAATTGATTTTAAAGATTTCTTTCATCTTCAAAGATTTCATTTATCTGTATGTACAGATGTGTAGATTTTGTTTATATACATATATATTAATACATGATGACCCTGTAACATTTGCTTTCTAGTCTTTGGGTTACAAGTCGATCTCAATGAAAAAATTTTTATTTTGTTTATACTTTACAGTCAGGATCTTATAATAAATTTTCTGTATGAGATAATAGCTAAAATGAAATGGGTTAGCTTAACAAATTGTCCAGTTTTCTAAGAATTGTTTTGCTCCCTTTGCATTATTGGCATCTAACTGAAAATGGTTTTGTTTAGCAGCTGTTACAGTTATAAGCCAGAAATATTTACAATTTATCTTTTAACAACTTTATAAAAGTACTTCTGCTGGGCGTGGTGGCACACGCCTTTAATCCCAGCACTAGGGAGGCAGAGGCAGGTGGATCTCTGTGAGTTCAAGGCCAGCCTGGTCAACATAGTGAGTTCCAGGACAGCTGGGGCTACAGGGAGACCCTGTTTCAAAAAGACCAAAAAAAAAAAATACTTCTGTAAAAGTTCATCCCATTAATAGAAAGGATGTTTAGGGAGAAAATACTTGTTTTCTATAAAAATTTTTTTTTGATTGATGCCACCTATGTTGAGTCAGATTAAGGAATAGCTGAAGGTTTTAAGAGCTCTACTATGTGACATTAATTTTAAAGTCATGTTGCTAATAAGAAACTAAAATATAAAGTAAAAAGTTAATTTAGAAGTAGTTTTAAAGTATGAAAATATTTTAAGATGCCAGTGAGAAAAATGGTTGTCATTAAAACATTGATTCCTTCTCTCACCCTTTTCCAATCCAGTGTTCTGTGCCTAGTTACTGCAGAATCAGTATTTTTCTGCTAGAAAAGACCCTAAAGATAATCTAGCTAATATTTACCAGGCACACACATTCATTCATCCTCAGGAAACTGGGGCTCAAAGAGATTGGGATATGAGGTTCATATCTAAGAAGCAGAGCCAGAATCAAACCTTGTCGCTAGTCAAATGCATATTAACAATCCACTGCCTCTCTATATCCATACTTTGATAGATATGTAGTGCTTTGCCATTTCTGCAATTTATTTATATTTCTGATCTAGTAGTTGGTGAATATAACACATTAAGACAAGTATTAAATCCAGAAAAATGTAGAATAATAAATACTGATGGAAGTGTTTGAAATGTAGGTATCTACAAATGTTAGGATAGGTACATTATTCTTTCCTAATTTATGCCTTACTAACTTTCTGCCACATATGTTATATGCTGCCATGCTGTTTATATTTGTGGGGATTTGTTTAAGTGCAAAATAAACCCAATGAAATGACTTGGATCAGTGTTTCTAGCTATTTGAAAGTGGTTTTTGAAGCAGTCAGTTTCCAGTCACCAAACCTGCCAATAAATTTGTATTGAACAATGGAGGATTGAAAAGTAAAGGTAAAAAAACTCAGTTCCATTAATTTTTGAGTGATTGGACCTTACCATGCTTAGAGCAGATAAAAGCAATATTTATTTGACTGAAAAAAGTTTGAGTGAGTGTGAAGCTTATGACTCCATAATGGAGCAGTGGCCTTGTCATTTACAGTGTGTGCCATATGCACCATTATAAATGCCTTGGTTTCAGCTGTGTAAGCTCAAGGTCTCCAGCCTGTATTCCATTTAGTTGCTTTAAATTTCTTATAATTATTTATCAGACACTGGGATACTGAGTAACTTCCTTCACATTGTTTTTGTTTGCACTACTTTTGTGAGTATTCTAATGAAGTAGGGCATTTTTCTTACCTCACTTTGTGAGGTTTACGTGGGTCCATTTTTGAGTACTTTAGTTGTGACAATCAGCTGTCTCATCTAATTCACTGCATGTTCATTTATAAATAAAAATAGTAGTTCTGTCTTTATGGGTATCACACTGTACAAACACTGGCAAGGAGGCTCTCTCCATTTTTAAACTTGTTTTGTATTGTACAAGTACATTTTTGTTTTGTTTCACAAAAGCCCAGTATTTCAATAATACTTTGTTTTTCAATTAAAATTAATAGCTCATGTTCGTGATTAGAAATTCTATAAGAATTTTAAGGCAACTTTACTATACTATGGATATGTTAGTCAGACCATGAGACTTTTTATCTTTCAAGTTGAATGATTACTGTTTATTGTTTCACTGAGTTGGGTGAGATACATGATACTTAAAATTTTTTAAAGTGTTTTTCAGAAATAAGTGGTTTGAAAATGAACTAGCTAATGAATTAGAGTATTTGCTAGATTATATGAACATGGAATACAGTGTAGAATTAATAATCCAAATAAAATCATGAGTCATCAGATTGGTACAATTTTCCATGCTAAGACAAATTTTAGTATTGTTTATAGCATGTGAATCCAGTGAATATATCACGTTGGTACTGAACTACATAGGAAATACTCCAACAGGTGGCGCAACCCCGCTTCCTTGCCCATGTGGGCACATTTTTTTCTAACCCTGACTTTTGGGCTTTTTTTTTGTTCACAGTATTTTTGTAATCCTAACCATTCATCCTATGAGAAGTATACACAGATCAAATAATTCAGGATGCAAGTTCACAGAAAGCTAGGAATGATGTGAAATAACTGGCAGCATAGTACAGAGATGTAGTTTCTATATTTTTCTTCTGAATTTTGAGAAAAGTGGGTTCATAATGTTTACAAATTAAGACATATTCATATGTCTGCTATTATGCTACTACATTTAATAGGAATTTTACCAAAAAAGTAGAATTAAATATAGCTTAAGGTGTAAATGAGTCTTTTTTTAAGAAATTGTGTATCTGGAGGTAGATCTAATATGTCTTTTTATTTTCAGAGAAACGTGAACTTAATTGGACAGTCCATCTTCATATATAGGAATAATTATCTGGTTTGCTGTATCTGAGTGTAAACAGTTCAGTGTTAATCATATCAGAAGATACTTTTTGCATCTTCATTGATTACAAAATTTACCAAAGAAAATGTTATTGACCAAAATCATTTTTAAAGCACCTGTTAAGGAATAAAGCTCCTTTAACAAAGTGATTGCTTTCTAATCCTGAGGGAAATAAATATTAATTCTTTAAATTGGAAAATGTGCATACAGTAAATATACAAGATTTTATTTGGTTTTCTTGCATGAATTAGATCTCAACACTCCATTAACAGTACCAATGAAAGAATATGTCCTAATTTTATTCCTTGTGGCATGTTCTTATTAAAATGGAGGATTTCGGTTACGAGTATTGAATAAAAAGGGGAAAAATGTCTGGAATTCGTATATTGGTATATTATGGGTTGCTAAGATAAAATTATGGGAGGAAACTATAGAAATCCACCTCTCAGTGCACAATGGAAGTTACTTCTAACAAGTATAATATTGCCTAAACTGGTATGGTTTGTTTACATAATTTATGTACATGTTCACCCTTGACTATTTTTTGTCTGCATAAAAAAAATCAAGCTAAAATATTCTTTTAAATGTATAGAACTAAAAGATTTAAACTGTTTCGTGATTTCTTAAATTATAAAACAGTTGTTTTTTAACTGCTCTTCCAAACAAGTTAAATATTTTTTTCATATCACATGATTGTTAAAAAGAAATAAATGCCTTGCTCTTGGAAAGAGACAATTCTAAATAATTACTAATAATGGCCTAGGTTTTGAAATTAGGCTGGCTTTACAGTCAGTTTAAAACTGGTTAAATGAAATGGTTTTTACAGTACAAGAATTTTACTACCTTGGATTTATGTAATTTGATTTCTGTAACAAGCAAACAATATCCCATTTTCATATATTTGTTTCATAAAAGGATATAGCTGGTGTTTTTGTTTAACCAACATCAACTTCCCACATATTCAGAGAATGGTGCTGGTGAAAATTTAGGGCAGACATGCAAAAAGTATGATCTTTATTGAATGATGTCCTTTCAACCTAGGACTAGTGAAAAATCATTTTTTTTCAGAGCTGAAGAAAGAAAATGCACATTTAAGATCATATTTATTGGTGCATGTGAGCCATTACCATCTTACTGAACTGATTAATGCTGTTGATTGTTAAAATGTGAAATGTAGTCACTGTTGACCTTGTAAATATCTGCCAGAGATTAAAAATATTTTAAGTTATTGTAAATAAAGATGTATAAAACTCAGTATCAGTCTGCAATGCAGAAAATATATCTCACATGTTAAATATTGTGTTTCTTGAGGGATGTATAATTTCTCCCCAGGTGTATCTAGCTATATTAAGAATGTAAATTTTCTTTTGTACAGTACAAAAATACAGCTTTATTTGGCTTTTAACTGAATTTCCCTGAGTGGATTTTATCTTACCTTAGTTTTATACTTTACTATAGTCCTTTCATTGTATTTTTGAAAACCATGATATTTATATATATCTAAATTTTTCATGAGTATCTTATTAAAGTAAGGCAATACATGAAATTACGTGACACCAGGAGCTGAAGAAATGGCTCAGCAGTTAAGAGCACTGGCTACTCTTGCAGAGAACCAGGGTTTGGTTCCTAGTGCCCACATGGTGGCTAACAGCCAACACCAGTTCTAGGGGATCTGGTGCCCTCTTCTGGTATTTGCAGGTACTTCAGGCACATGGCACACATGCATGCAGGCAAAACACTCATACACATAAAAATATTTTTATATAAAAATAATTATTTTTATAATTTAATTATTTATATAATTATTAATTATATAAAAATAATTAAGCTGGGTGAGGTGACACATGCCTTTTATCCCAGCACTCATGAGGCAGGGGCAGGCCAATCTCTGAGATCAAGGCCAGCCTGGTAGTGAATTCTAGGCCAACTGGGGCTACAGGAAGACCGTATCTTCTGGGGGAAAATATGACACTGGGAAATAATGAAAAGACAGAAATGCTGGTTATGGTGTCACACCCCTGTGATTCTAGCACTCTGGAGGCTAAGGCAAGAGGATTGCTTTGAGTTTGAGACCAGCCTGGGCTACAGAGTGAGAAGACTTATCTCAAAAACAAATGGGTGCTGGAGAGATGGCTCAGCTGTTAAGAGCACTGGCTGCTCTTGCAGAGGACCCAGGTTCAGCTCCCAACACCCACATGGCAGCTAACAACTATCTCCAGTTCCAGGGGAATCTAATGCCCTCTTCTGACCTCAGGCATTGCATGACGTGGATACACTTACATACATGCAGGCAATACACTCACATAAAAAAAAATTTAAAAAAGGGGGGGCTAGGGCAAGTGTCTTAGCAGGTAAGGATGCTTGCCTGATGACCCAGTCTCCAGGACTCAGGGCTACACGGTGGAAAGAGAGAACTGACTTGAGTTGTCCTCTGACATCCATTCAGGTGTCCTAGCATGTGTACCCTTACACTCAATAAGTGTTAAAAATTATAAAGGCAAAAGTGAAATTAATACATAATATATGTGTTATGGGCCAAGCATGGTGGCATATGTCTTTAATCCTAGCACTCAGGAGGCAAAGGCAGGCAGATCACTATGCATTCAAGGCCAGCCTGGTCTACATAGTGAGTTCCAGGCCAATTAGGGCTACATAGTAAGACCCTGTGTCAAACTTTATACACACATGCACTAAAGCAGTCAAATCTTTAAGATTAAACCAGTTTCTTGGGACAAAACTGTAGTTCTGAAATGTCAGAAAATTTTCTTTCTTGGATTCGTTCTGCAGAGATGCCAGCTTTATTAATAACATCTCCCTTTTCTTTACCCTCCCCTCTTCCGCCCTTTTCTTTCGTTGAATCCAGAACCAACTATGTGGTCTTCAGTTTTAGAGCCACCTGTGCAATGTTTGTTTCCTCAAACTTCAGCCAGCAGTTCTCATCAATTTTTTCTCTGACATTGTGTTTTCTTCCTTCTCCCCCTCCTTCCTTTCCTCATGCTGAGGATCTTACCCAAGGCCTTGAATGGAAAACTAATTATGTAACAGTCTGGCATAGCTAAACTTATGTCCAGAACCACTGACCCAATCAGGATTGTTTTCCTAGAGAAATACACAAAACAGAAACTGACAGAAGGTATCACTAACCCATTCCATAAACATAGCTCCCTCCCCAAATAAACTCATCCATGTAAATGCTTCAGTCCACCCACTCAGTCCCCTTACCCATGACATTTAATAGGGATCTATTAGCTTTACTGGCTCCTAACACTCAGAACTTTTAGTACTTACTGGCCTTTCTACTTTCTTACTATCTTTAGTTTCTGTTCCGAAGTTTCATCACCTTACCTTTTTTCCCAGCAGCCTTAATTCTTTCCCCACTTTATGAAAGCCATCATATTAGCATAAAATATTCTTAATATCCTGTTATCCTCTATGATTTCAAAAGTTCTGAACTCTAGAGCTGGGTGTGGTGGCTCACAGCTGTAACCATAGCACTCAGGAGGCAGAGGCAGAGAAATCATATGAGTTTGAGGCCAGCCTACACTACATAGTAAGACCGTCTCAAATCTGTCTGCAACTTTGAACCATTACTGCCAGATGATGAGGTATCTTACTTATTTTACTCACATTCCTTGCACAGCTTAGTCCCCTGATACCTTTTACCTATATATGCAGACAACTCCTACATCACTATTTTAGCCTTGGCTACTTGAATGAATTTCAGGCTAGTTACTGTTAACTAGATAACTTTTAGAAACCAAAGTCATGGTAGGTGCCTCCTGCAAGTGCAGCTCAGTGATAGTATTTACTAGCATGTACAAGGTCTTGGGTTCAATCCAAAGCTCCATTATAAGGAAAAAATATCTTATTACCAAACCAAAGGCTGGGGATGTATCTAGTGATAGAGTGCTTTGCTAGCATGCTCTAAGCCCTGTGTTCAAGCTCTAGCACTGGAGAAAACAAAAACAAGTCAAATCCTAGCATTTAGAAATCTGAGGCAGGTAGAGAATAGACTGAAGCTAAAACTCATCTTTTTCCTACCCTTTTTCTCTCAATAATGTTTCACACAATCTACTGATATCCACGGCAACCAAGGAGCAACCTCACAATTATGCCTTGCCCATTTCTCCTGTCCCCAAATCATACTGTTTGGGATTTTTTTCTCTTTTTTTTTCTGTGTGTGTGTGTGTGTGTGTGTGTGTGTGTGTGTGTGTGTGTTTGTAGACCACAAGACAACCTTGGGTGTCATCCTCGGGAATGACAGCCACTTCATTTAAGACAGGGTCTCCATACTCTGGCACTCATCAATTAGGCTAGACTAGATGGCTAGGGAGCCCCAAAGATCCTCCTGTCTCTGCCTTCACCTAGCTGGAACAAGTGTGCATGCTACATGTTCATGGCATTACATGGGTTCTAGGGTATTCATACTTATGCAGCAAGCACTTTACCAACTGAACTATCTCCCCAACCACCTTCCTTTTATCTTTTTAAAATCCATCTTTTCTACCTTTACTAGTACCATACCTTCTCTATGCAACTGTATCCTTCTGGAAATGTCTTTTCCAGTTTCCAATCTCTGTTGCTTGACTAGAGCCAACTTTTCTTTTGAACAGACTGGACTTCTCTGTTAAACCCATCCCCAAGCTGAGCTATGTGGTAGTTGTCTTAATTCATACTGTGCCTTACTGTATTGAACTTAAGTGATTCTTCCTAGCTAGGCTCTTAAGCTCCTTAAAAGGGAGGCTATCCAGCATGGTGGCATGCATCTGTAATCCCTTACTTCAGAGGCTGAGGCAGGAGGATCACAGTAATTTTGAGTTTGAGGCCAGCTTGGCCTACATTGTTTGAGGTCAGCCCGGGCTACAAAGAATAAGCCATACCTGGACATTATGTACTGACATATTCAGGGGCTCGAAGTTTTATTTTTATCTTTTGTGGCTATGTATATATTTGTGTGTGTGTAGGTGCACTCTTGCGTGATGGTCAGAGAACAACCTCAAGTATCAGTCCTCACACTTTGTTTGAGACAGGATCTGTGTTGTTTTTTTTCTGCTGCACATGCCAAGCCAGCAGACCTGGGAGCTTCTGGGGATTCTTGCCTCCACCTCCCTTCTTCACATAGAAGTGCTGCTGAGATTACAGACATAAGCACTTCCATGCCTGACTTTATGTGAATTCTGGGTATTCAACCTCAAATCCTCACATTTGAGCAGCAAGGTCTTCACCCACTGAGCCCAACCTGAGGCTCAGAGTTTTATAGAATAAATAGAAAACATTTTATTATGTCTGTGTGTGAACCAACAGATTTAATTAGGGTTGCTTACAGAAGCCTGAGTAAAGTGTTATTTACAGAAGCATGGTCAACTTACCAGCGGAAAAAATCTCTCTCCCTCCCCATCAACTGTTGACTGCCTATAAGATGCTGGGGGAGGGGTGGGGACTTGTGAGCCCCTCCCCCTGATAACCATTAATTGCCTATAGATCATCAGGGGCTTCATGAGCCCCTCAACCCTCCATTACAGAATGTTGATGGGTCCAATCTTGTGCAGGTTACGTGCAGGTAGCTGGTGTGAGTTCAAGAGTACAATGGCCCTGTTATACCAAGATGGCATTCCACAAGACTCCACTCCTTCCTCCTGCTGTTCTATTCTTTCTGTGTCTTCTGTAATGTTCCCTGAGCCTTGGAGGGGGATATATAGATGTCCCATTTATGGATGATTATTTAACAATTACTTATTCTGACCAGTTAGTGAGTCTCTTGTAATAACTGCTGCCTACTACAAAGAGAAGCTTCTACAAGTCAGCTTTGCAGAAAAAGCTGACTGCAATACTAAGCTATAAATATTAATATTTAGAAGGCAATTTGATAGACCCATCATTTAGCAGAATAACAAAAGTTGCTTACCCACTAGAGCTGATGATCTCCCCAGCTTCAGGTTTTTAACCAGGTTTATAGGACTAGATGTGAATTCCCTCTTGTGCACTGGCCTTATCCAATCAGAAAGTAATGCCACTGTTGTACCAGGGAGTACATCTTGTCTGGTCAGTCAGTAGCGTAGCATGCCAGAGTCCACAGCTGGGTAAGACTGTTGATAATTCTCCTCTAGTACGTGTGGCCCCTTCCAGCACTCTGAAAGCTAGCCAGGAAAGAGGACAGTTTCAGCTCAGTTCCAGTTTGATTACTCTATGCCCTACAACCAAAATGTGTGGGGTTTTCAGCCACAGGGTCTTAACATCTAGTGCTGCTGGGCAACCAAAAGCAGTGGCAACTGCCTAGATCATATTATAGAGTCTCAAGGATGAAAACAGATTTTCTGTGACTGACAGATTGCGTGATGGCTAATCCTGGGTGTCAATTTGACTGGATCTGGGATTAACTGAAATAAGAGAGATCTTCATGATTGGATCTGAAGCTGGAAGACACATCCTAAATGTGGGTGTTACCTTCTGATGGCAGCCTGTATAAAAGGCCATGGCAGAGGAGAACACCTGGCTTCTTGCTGCTTGCCTTCTCACTGGTGAGTTCGTCTTGCTGCTGTAGACTGAAGACTAGCTGATCTTTTGGAATTCGTCAGACCTTCAGCGCCAGATTGGGACTACTGAGACATCCAGCCTCGTGAACTGAGCGACTACTGATTCTCAGCCTCTCCAGTGTGGTGCAGCCATTATTGGGCTACTCGGACTCTATCCTGTGAGCTAAACTGATAAATCTCTATACATATATATTCATTCTACTGGTTCTGTTTCTTTGGAGAACCCTAATACAGATTGATAGGAATCTTTTCATGATATTTGTAAGGGCAAAAATTGAGTTTCCTAAATTTAAGAAGCAGTATGAATGTATCTTGTCCATAAGATGTACTTGATACCTAGAACACATAGACTGACATCATAGTCTTAAATGAGATCTTTTTATCTGAGTTTCCTGCATAGTCTGAGGTAAAGTTTCTTCAAGTTTGTACATAGTATGCTTGGTCCTGCTCTGTCTTTTTCAGAACAAGCCTTTATTAAAAAGTTTGGTGATAGGCCAGGCATGGTGGTGCATGCCTTTAATCCCAATACTTGGGAGGCAGAGGCAGGTGGCTAACCTGGTCTACATGTGAGTTCCAGCCCAGCTGGGAGCTACAGGGAGACCATTTCTCAAAAAAAAAAAAAGTTTGGTGATGATGGGCATGGTGGTGCATGGCTTAAATCACAATACTTGGGAGATACAGAGGCAGGTGGATCTCTGTAAGTCCAAGGCCAGCCTGGTCTACATAGTGAGTTCCAGGCCATCCAGGGCTACATAGTGACACTCTGTCTCAAAACCAATGAAACAAAAGTTTGGTGATGATAGGACTGGGAACATAACTCAATTGGTAGAGTGCTTACCTAGAATGCATGAAGTCCTGAGTTTGCGCTCTACCACTGCATGAACCATGAAAAATAAGTTTTAAAATTTTAATCCCAAAGGATATATGACTAGCTGCCAGTGTTCTAGGAAGGAAATAAAAGGCTCTTCTGCATACACCCTTCCCCAACCAACCCAGTTCCAGTATGGTCTCTTCTTTCTACTTTCAGCTGCACCTGATGGTTAAGAGTCTATCTCCTTTGCAGTTCGCCTTATAAACTTCTGTTCCTTTACTAAGGAGTACAGGAGGCCCAGGATAGAATTGTTTCTGATGTCTAACTTACCTTCCAGTTCTCAGACCCATGTTGCTCTACAGATTCCCAAGACTATGTGGAGTTCTGTGACAAGAATAAGATTCTTATTGGCTTCTTTTCATTTTCTAAAATGTTATCAGCTCACCTCTTCTATTCTGTTGTGTGCTCTTTAAAAACATGTATATTCTTGGAGCTGGAGAGATGGCTCAGCTCTTGCAGAGGACCTGGGTTCAATTCCCAGCACCCACATGGCAGCTACGAACCGTCCTTAACTCCAGTTCCAGGGGAATCCAAAGCCCTCTTCTGACCTCCACGGCATTGCACGGCACGGGTGCACTCACATACATGCAGGCAATACACTCATACACATAAAATAAAAATACTAAAAAAAAATTTTAAAAACATGTATATTCTTTAAAAGCATTTTTATTACATTTAGTGGCAGGGGGGCTGTGAATGTGTCAGGGCTTGGATGTGGAATTCAGAGGACAACTCACAGGAGTTGGTTCTTCCCTTCTACCATGTGGGTTCCAGGAATGGAACTCAGGTTGACAAGCTTGGTGGCAGGTACCTTTACCTGCTAAGCCATCTCCTCTGCCTTACATATTTGTTGTTTTTGTGTATTTTTATTTTATGTGTATGTGTGTATTGCCTGCATGTAAGTGCACCCCTTGTAGTTTAGAAGAGTGTCAGATTCCCCTGCAATTGGAGTTATGGATGGTTGTTACTTGTCATGTGGGTGCTGGGAATAGAACCTGGGTCTTCTGTAAGAACAGTCAGTGCTCTTAAGTGCTGAGCCATCTCTCCAACTCCTTTTTTGGGTTTTTTTGAGACAGGGTCTCCCTGTAGCCCCAGTTGGCCTGGAACTCACTATGTAGACCAGGATGGCTTTGAACTCACAGAGTTTCGCCTGCCTCTGCCTCCCAAGTGCTCAGATTAAAGGTGTGTGCTACCTAGCCGGGAGTTGTTCTTGTTCTTTTAATCTCAAGTTATTTTCTGAGTCACAGAAAATTACTTTTTTTGTGTACTGGAGCTGTAAATCAGGGCCTTGCTAAACTCAACATACATGCTGTACCATTTTCTTAACTCTGAGCTAACCAGAATGGAATACTAAGGCACCAAAGAGGTGCCACCATCACACTTCCAAACTGTATTCTCTAAACAGCCTCCAAGTAGCATGACTGCGTTTCCTTCCCTCCCACTCTCACATCCTACATCAGTCTTTCAATACAAATGTGACCAGCACCCTAAGGACCAACTTGCCCTTCATAATAACTCAACTTTACCCACCTGCTGTATTTATTTTGACTTTCCTCCTGGAAAACTTTACCTCTCTTCTTTGACTTAAATCAATTCAGGCCTTAGGTTTCAGTTTAAAGATCTCTTCAAGGAAATTGTTCCTGACTCCGGGCATTTTAATTAGACATCCCTGGGCTCCAGTAAACACTGTATTTGCCATCATTGTAGCATTTTTCTCAATAGTGTCTGATCAGTATCTTCTCGATTATTATCTATTATGAGGGCAGAGGTCGTTTTCGTACACCTGAATACTTTGTCTATCGTTCGATATTGTTTTGTTTGGAATGAGTTCAAATGACATAATTCTGCTAGTTTAGTAACAGATACTTAACGTATCTCAGCCAGGTTCATCCATCTCCCTCATTTTCTCTATACCACGCTTTCATTAGTTGTACAATCGTATTTTCTCCTTCATGCTCTGGCTCTACTTTTCTTCCTTATAGAAAAGACATCTCCTCTCCTCCCCTCCCTCCAACTCTTGAGCTCTTTTCAGACAAAAGAGGGAAAAGTGGTGTTTTGTAAAACGAGTCCATTCTCATATTTTCCTCAAAAGAAGGTAGCTAGACAAACGAGCCCTAAGATTGCCATAAAACAGCGCTCCCACAAGCGCCTATAGTCTAACACACACCTCCTTCTCCCCTCCCCGGAAACGGAAACGGAAAGAGAAGAGGAAAGTCCCGGAACCTAGCGTTTTCCTCTGCTTCCCTGAGGGGCGAGGCCCTCTGGCCCACGCCAACTGGCCTGCGCAGCCGTCGCTCTTAGCCAACTCCACTCCCCATTGGTCCCCTGGGGCGCCGCCCCTCGGCAGGGCGGGAGATTCGGTGTGCCGGGCGCAGGCCTCGCGTCGCCTGCGGCCTGGGGGTCCCGCGTGCAGTAGCCGTGGCTTCCGGAGAGGCCCGAGCCGGCGAGAGCCGGTGTGGCGGTACGTGAGGGTGTCAGCGCAGCCGTTTCTCTGGGCGCGCGGCTGCTGAGGTGAGTCCGGGCTGCGCTGGGGCTCCAGGGTCACGGCCGCCTCCTGGCTGCTCGCCCTCTGCGGCCGGAGAGCGTCTGACCCGCGAAGCGCCCTGGTCCTCAGGAACTCCCGGCTGAGGCGGTGTCTTGAGACGCACCGCTCGTCGTCGGTCGCTCGCAGCCATAGCCCTGTGCAAGCCGCATCCCTGCTTCCCGCCTCACGGAGCCGGAGTTGGAAAGAGAACTGTAAGGGTGTATTGCGAAAGTTGCCAAGTGCTCTGCCAGACGGGCGGTTTTAAGAGAAACGCGGGAAGGGGTCACGTGACAAAAACTCCCACCGGAGTGCGTCTAGCTGTCATCCCACCCGGGATACCCTAAATGACACCTGCTGACGAACTGAAAGCATTGCTTTGGGACGATGCTTGATTGTGAAGTATTGATGAGCCAGGATCCTTTTGTAGAGCTTTTTAAATGAAAAGAATATTGAAGCATTACTTAGCATTTTACAGCTGAAACTGTAACTGAACGGTTTATACCTGGTTAAATTGCAAAATATCATGGCTACACACACACACACACACACACACACACACACACACACACACACACACACACGTGTGTGTGTGTGTGTAATAGCACTAAACCTTGAATGGCTATCACTCATCACTTAGCAGTTCTGTTGATGCAGAGTGAAATACACAGATGTACATGAGATCTGCATGGTTAAATTGAAATGTAAAGTAGAAAATACCTCTAACAGGGAACATTTTTATAAGTCCTTGAATACATCAGATACATTATTGTCTTGACTTTGGACACAGCCATAAGGCTAGAAAGTGTGAACTTGTGATTAGAACCCAGGTTTATCTGAAACTAAAATTGGTGCTTAACCACTAATCTAAACCACCATCTTTTCAAAAGGATAACATTTTGTGTACGTATGTTCTTTTTTTAAAAGTTTATTAGCATCTATTCGTTGTACATAATAATTCTCATGCCATTTTCATACATGTATATCATGTATTTTGATTATTTTCACCCCACAGAGTCCCTCTTCCACTGTTGCCCCTCCTTTTCCCAACTAGTCCCCCTTCCTTTTCTTTTTTTCCTAACCAACCTATACATTTAATTAGGGTTTCTTACTGGAGATAACAACCTACCAGTGGCTACACCATTGGAAGAAATATTTCTTCCTCACCCAGCACCATTAACTGCCTGTAGCTCCTCAGGGACAATGAGGCCTTGGGACCCTCTCCTCTTAGCATTAACTGCCTGTAGCTAGCTCCTCAGGAAGGAGAAGGGCCCTGTGACTGAAAAGGTAACAGTTTTTAAATTGTAGCAAGTCCTTTTTTTTTTTTTTGCTCCTGGAGGAGAGTGTACTGCAGTTAACACTCACTTTGTGCTGCTGTATTGCTTTGTAAATTCTATGGGAAGAATTGAGCTATTACACCCAAGGCAGTGCCTTGAAGGGTCATAGATGCTATGAGTATTTGTATTTCATTTATTGGTTGTGTGTATGTGTGTAGTATGTATGTGTGTGTGCATGTGGGTCACATGGCAGAAATGTGTGTTGGGGTCAGAGGTTGCCTCAGCTGCTCTCCACTTAATTTACTGAGGCTGGGGATAGAGGATCTCTCACTAAGCCAGGAGCTTGCTGATTTGGCTAGCCTCAGGGATTCCATCTTGGCCTCCCCAACTCTGCATGTGCTCAGCTTTTATCTACGTGCTAGGGATCTGAACTCTGATCCTCTCGCTTGCTGACAAGTGCTTTTATCCGCTGAACTATCTCCTCTGGCCCCCTGTATTTATATTTTACTGTATTTGTTAGGTAGTGGGTTTTAATTAAGGAACTGTTGGAAAGGAAGGAAGAAAATGTCTCCTATGAGGTTGTGGTAGAAATTTCATTTGGAGTGATTTTGTGCTTTGGAAGATGTCTTAAATCTAAAAAGATACATTGTATAGATGCATTTAGATACAAACAAGACTGAATTAGGCTACTTCAGACAGCCAAGCCATGCCCAGCCTTTTTGACTTTTTGATACAATATTGACATCTACAAAGTTCGTGCTTGAGAACCCCATAGTCTAGTTACAAAAAAAGAAAATTACAATAAGAACTCATAATATTTTAAATAAGTTCATGATTTTGTTTCTGGCTACATTCATCCCTGTCCTTGGCCACCTGGGGCCCCCAGATTGGGTACACCTAGAAAGCAATTAAAATAACATGGAGAGCTGGGTGTGGGGCATGGCTGTGATCCCAGTACTCTTGAACCTGAGGCAGGCATATCATGAGTTCCAGCCAGCCTGTATTATAAGGTGAGACCCTGTCAACAAAAAGTAAAATAAAGGACTAGGGATGTTACTTGAGTGCTTGCCTAGCATGCAGGAAACCCTGAGTTTCATCCCCAGCACTGCATAAACCAGGCATGTTGCCATAGGTCTGTAACCCCAGCATTTGGGAGGTGGAGGCAGAAGTTCAGGATCATCTTTGACTACATAGTTTGAGGCCAGTATGGTATTCATGAGACCGTCACTCTTTCACACACACACAAAAAAATCCCTACAAAAACTAAAATAAAATATCATGGGGGCTGGAGAGATAGTTCCATTGGTAAGTGCTTGCCTTGCAAGCATAAGAGCTTATGTTCAATCCCCAGAACCCACATTAAAAAAAAAAAAAAAAAAAAAAAAAAATCCTAATCCCAGTGCTGGAGAGGTCTGGAGAGATGGCTTAGTGGTTAAGAGCACTTACTGTTCTATCAGAGGACTGGATTTTGGCACACATGTTAGGTGTCTCTAGCGCTTTGAAATCCAAAGCCCCCTTCTGGCCTGCATGAGCACCCCTCTGCAAACACACAAATAAAGAGTAAAATCTTCAGGGGCTGGAGAGATAGTTCACCTGTTAAGAGCACTGGCTGCTGTTACAAAGGACCCAGGTTTAATTCCTAACCCACATGGTGACTAACAACTGTCCATAACTTCATTTCTACGGGATCCAGTGCCCTCTTCTGCCCTCTGTGGGCATTGGTCTTTTTGAGACAAGGTTCCCCTGTAGCTGCAGCTGGCCTGGATTAGCTAATAGAGACCAGGCTGGCTTCGAACTCACAGAAATCCACCTGCCTCTGCCTCCTGAGTACTGGGATTAAAGGCCTGTGCCACCATGCTGGGCTGTAAATAAGTAATTTTTTTTAAAAAAAAAAAAAAAGAGGAAGTGGTGGCATGCACTTGTAATCCTAGTAATCCTAACACTGGGGGAGGTGAAAACAGGTGCATCACTAGAGGTTGCTGGTTAGCCAGCCTAGTCTAGCTCCAGGTCAATGAGAGACCCTGTCTCAAAAAAGTTTGGGGGGCTAGAGAGATGGCTCAGCGGTTAAGAACACTGGTTGTTCTTGCAGACAAGAACTGGGACCGGGGTTCGAATCCCAGTACCCACATGGCTGTTGGCAACTGTCCATAACTCCAGTTCCAAGGGATTCAGCAGCCTCTTCTGTCCTCCGTGGGCATTGCATGATACGGGTGCACTTAACCTATACACAGGCAATACACGCATACATATAAAATAAAAATAATAAATAAAAAAATATTTTAAAAAGTTTGAGGTGTCTGGAGGAATGGCTCAGCAGTTAAGAGCACTAGCTGTTCTTGCAGAGGACCTATGTTGGGTTCCCAGCACCACCTACGTGGCAGCTAACAACAGTTCATAACTCCAGTTCCAGGGGATTCCATCTCCCTCTTCTGGCCTCCACAGGCATTGTATGACATTGGTATACTTACATACGTGCAGCCAATATACATACACAAAAAAAAATAATAATTTTTTTTTATAGAAAAGTTTGAGGGGCTGGACAGATGGCTCAGCAGTTAAGAGCACTGACTGCTCTTACAGAGGACCCAGGTTCAATTCCCAGTACCCACATGGCGGCTAATAACTGTTCTTAACTTCAGGTCCAGGGAATCCGACATCGTCTTCTACCTCCTCGGGCATTGCATGACATGGGTGGACTTACACACGCAGGCAATACACTCATATGAATAAAATGAAAACGATAAAATATTTTTTAAAAATGAGTTTGACTGACTCCTGAAGAATAAGACACCAAGGTTGTCCTCTGGCCTCCATACACATGTGCACATGCATACACATAAACAAACATGCACAAACACATATATAAGCAAAACTGCCATAGGAAAATTACATGTACATTATTCAGTCATCAAGAATTTTTATAAATTTCCTTGGAAACTTACTCCTAAGAGAATCATGTAGCATTCTTCCCTGTCCCCCCTCTCCCTTTTTTGTTTTATGAGTCAAGGTCTCTCTTACTAGCATGAGGAATGAGATTACAGGCATATGCCACCACATGTAACTGAGTCAAAATTTCTCTTATGATTCTATTTTTTGCGTTTATTAGTATTTGTAGTTTTACCATTTGTTTAAATTCATTTGCTCTTTGTCACTGAGAACATAGCACATAATTAAAACACAGCTGTGTATGAGTAAATGGAAATAATGTACATTATACTGAACCTGATACCTTTGAAGTATGCTTGATAAAACTATTATGGTTTAACCTGAGGATCTTGAACCTTGGAGGAATAATAGAAGTCTTGGATATTTGACATACATGGGGAAAATGATTACATATTATAAATAATTTCCAGAGATCAAAACAAGCAGTTAGGATAAGATTTTTATTCAGTGGCACAAAAGGTATGTGGTGTAATCAAATGATCAGGAATTTAGGAATCAGTCAAAGCTGGGATTCAACCCTAACCTAATTGTGTGAATTTTGGTGAATAATTTTAATCATATATATGCAGGATCTCACAGTGTAGCCCGAGCTGACCTGGAACTCACTATGTAGACCAGGCTGGCCTCAAACTCAGAGACCACCTCTCCTGGCTCTGCCTCCTGAGTGCTGGGATTAAAGGTGTGTGCCACTATGCCCATCCAGCTTACTTATTTATAAATTAGGGAAATCACACACCAAAAAACATGAACTTGACTCTCTTTAACTGGTATACCTAAAGGTGCCTAATATACTGTCTCACATATGGGCCCTCAAAAAACCTGTTTGTAGCTGGACACGGTAGTACATGCCTTTAGTCCCAGCACTTGGGAGGCAAAGGCAGGTGGATCATTGTGAGATCAAGGTCAGCCTGGTCTACATAGTGGTGAGTTCTAGGCCATTTGGAGCTACAGGGAGACCCTATCTCAAAAAGATGGGGGGGAGCTTTTATTCAGGTATAAAAAAATTTTTCATTTCTTCATATAAATATAGGTGCATTAAACACTTTGTCTAATATGCTCAAATTCCCTATAATAGAAAGCAGTATTATGATTAGAAAAAGGCCTGAGAAGGAGTGGTTATATACTATGGGTGAAGTATTTATGGGCTGTACATACAAAGTGTAATCTCATAGAGTTCTGAAAGCTAAATTAGAATATATATCAAGAGTTCAGTGTGGTACACTTGTTTGTAATTCCATTGTGGAGGCAGGAGCAGGTGGGTGGTGAGTTCAGGGCTAGCCTCGGCTATACAGTAAGACCGTTTCAATACAACAACAACAACAAAAGATTATATGTAAAGTACTGAAAACTGTGTAGCACATAGTGAGTGCTTCACTCTCCTAACTGCCTCTCCCAATCTAGATATTGTTCTCAGACTTTGGGATTCTCTAGCCAATTACTATTTTGTCCCTCAAATGCCATCATTTCAGCTTTGCCTTTATAAGGACATTTATCTGTTCATTATTTTGGTTAAAACTCATGAATTTGGGGGAGCAAAGTTGCCCTGTTGTTTCCCTTTACCTATTAGCTGAACTTTACTAAATTCTTTTCCTAATTACAGGTGACTCTGAATTTTTCCAGCTGCAGAATGCATAGCACCTTAAAAGGTAAATAAAACTGAAAAGATCATTTAATTGTGCCAGTTACTAAAAGAAAATTTAGCAACACTTAGCTAAATGTGTAATAATTAAGCCATAAGAAATAGTCATTAGTTTCTTTGCCAGAAGAAAAGGCAAAAATGGGATTTATGAGAAAGGAAGGGGGGAAAAAAATAAGAACCCTAATCTTAATTTGCATTTGTTGGGTGAGCTAAAACTGGTAGTAGCTGTAATCATCCTTTGTTAGTTTTAGGCCATATACATAGCTTTGGAACTAAATTCTGTCAGAATAGCCAGAAGTGATCAAGCTTTTGCTTGCCAAACTCTGAAGTTTGTTCAGTGAAGAACTGACTATAAAGTGCTAGAAAGATTCATATTTGCTGTTTAGTTACCAAAATGTGTAGAAAGCCATGATAGTTGTGACCTTGAAGTATCTGGTAAGCATATAGTAAAGGAGGTGCTTGAAGGTTGTTTGTTCTAGGCATGGTACACCAATGAAGTGTCACACACCTCTCCCAAGAGTATCTTTCTAATAAACAGAAAATAAAATGTGCCATACCATTATTCTTTCTTTGACTGACCTGTCTTAATTCTTTTTTCCGTTAATATGACAATTAATAAATAGTTCATTGTAACTTTATTAGCACAGTGTTTTCTTGAGATGATATATTCATTACCTTGATTGGATTCAGCGCTTCTCAAATTGCTTATTTGTCTTCCCCTCTTCCTGTGTTTTTCAGATAAAGAATTGAGTTACCTACAGTCAAAAACATAATAACAGACTAATGAATAATATATGTGTCCTACCTTAAAAGTACTTATTAAGCCGGGCGTGGTGGCACACGCCTTTAATCCCAGCACTTGGGAGGCTGAGGCAGGCGGATCTCTGAGTTGAGGCCAGCCTGGTCTACATTGTGAGTTCCAGACCAGCTGAGGCTACAAGGAGACCCTGTCTCAAAAAAAAACCAAAAAAAAAAAAAAAAAAGTACTAATAAAATATAAAACATACATAAATATGTGCATTTATTTCACAGATGTTTAATTTATATGGCAGTTACTCTGAATTCTTCATCACACTGATATATTGCTTTTGTTTAGGTTGGCCATGATGAGTAAACTGGAATTAAAGGAAGCTAAGATGCTGGAGGTTCAATTCGTGGGAGATGATGATGTTCTTAATCACATTCTTGATAGAGAAGGAGGTACTGAGTAACAGTTAGAGTGGCTTGTGGATTATCTCATTTTTAAAAAACATTGTAAAAGGGCCTGGAGAGATGGCTCAGTAGTTAAGAGCAGTGACTGCTCTTGCAGAGGACCAGGGTTCAGTTTCCAGCACCCACGTGGCAGCTAGCAACCATCTTTAATTCCAGTTCCAGGGGATCTGATGCCCTCTTATAACCTCCTTGGGCACTGAATGTCAAATGCACTTACATATATATGCACACAAAACACTCATGCACATTAAAAAATAAATAAAAATTTGAAAGCATTCTAATGTTTTATTTTTAAAACATAGCCCAAAGTATTTGATCTAGCACAACTAAATATAAATTGTTGTTTTTTTTAGTTTACTTCTTTTAAAGTTTAATTGAACCTTACCATAAAGCCTTTCTAAAATAAAATGCTTAGTAGTGGTGGTAAATGATACCTAACCATTGTAATTTAACCCAGGATAAACACTTTCAAAAGTGTGTGTGTGGTATGTGTGTGTGTGTGTGTGTGTGTATTTCACTCAGTTACATAAATTGTGAATGAGCCATCAGTACTTCTGTTTTGTTGTTACTGTTGTTTGAGACATTTTCTGGGTAGCCTAAACTTGCCTCTAACTCTCTATGAGTCCCAGCTAGCCTTAAGTTCATGAGCCTCTTGCCTCAGCTTTACAAGGGCTGCAATTATAGACATGGTATGGTCAGTACTTTTTTGGGGGGGTGGATGGTGTGACAGGATCTTACTCTGTAGCTCAGGCTAGCCTGGAACTCACTGTGTAGCTCAGGCAGGCCTCAAATTTGCAGTGATCCTCTTGCCTCAGCCTTCCAAGTGCTGGAATTACAGTTGTGTGCCACCAAGCCTGACTTAGTTTTTTTTTTTTTTTTTTTTTTTCCATTTATGTGTGTGTCTGTATATGTGTTTGTGCACATGCGTGCAGATGCTTACAGAAGCCAGAAGAGTGTTAGAGTCCCTGGAGCTAGAGTTGTAGGTGGTTGATTGTTAGCCTCCCAATTTGGGTACTAGGAGCTGACTTGACTTGGGTCCTCTGAAAGATCAGCAAGTGCTCTTAACCACTGAATGATCTCTTATTTTTTTGCAATATTATCGCACTATATAGATAAGGCTGGCCTCAAACTCATAGAAATCCACCTGCCTCTGCTTCCCAAGTGCTGGGATTAAAGGTATGTGTCATTACACCCAGCCTTAGTACTTCTTTTTTTTTTTAATATTTTATTATTTTTATTTTACATTACGAGTGTATTGCCTGCATGTTTGTGAGTGCACCTGTGTCGTGCAGTACTGCGGTGAGTCATCTCTCCAGCTCCGTGATTTCCTTTCTTGGCAATCTAACAAATTTTTAGTTTTGTCCCAACTAAGGAACCATTATTTCTTTAAAGCTAAGTATGGAGGCTTCTCTCAGTTCAACAGTGATTGGCTGTGGAAGCCTCTGTCAGGTCCCTACTGATTGGCTCTGTATGCCTCAGTTTCTCAGGGATTGGCTGTGGGATCTCACGGTTCCTCACTGATTAACTGGACTCCTTATCTACTCCATTATCTTTGGACCAAGGTCTTAGGCCCACCCATATGACTTCCTGTTTCTCTCTAATGGTACTGGGGTGTTCCCCTCAGATCAATGAGGGGATTATCTGAGGGTCCTTCACGCCTAGGCTGTGTGCAGACTTCCTCTCCTTTGCCACTACCTCTTTTAAACATGGTGGCAGGGCAGCAGGCATAATGGAGGAGCTAAACTGGTTTCTTCCAAGCCAAGTCCATTCATGCACTTATTTTCTGAGACAAACCATGTTGGTGACCTGGTGAGTTTCTTCTCCTGCAAGTTTTTTACCATGAAGTCTAGATGATATGGGTAATTATACATGGCTCGGAGGTCAGTCTCTG